TTGTTTATAATAAAAAAACAATTTCAATCAAATAAAATTTACTATCGTCCGATTATAAGAATAATTACAATTTTTTCATACAATAATAATAATACATGAACATAAAATTTAAAAATACAGGAAATTTCTATTTCAATTATTCTTCGACTCTTCTTTTTTTCGTTTCAATGCTTTCTACGGATTCGTTGTCTACTATCACGCTTGCTTCCTCTTCCTGCATGCTCATACTTTTATCATTATTTCCTTCGTCATTTTCTTTAAGAATTACTTCCAAAATACTACAGGAGTTTCGAAGTTATCGCATTGGGTTGCATCACAACTTACACAAACGGACGTACATTTAAGAAAGTTTTTTGTACATCTACAGGCTTTAGTTTTGCAACCACTAGTGCAACTACACGATATTTTTTTTAATATTGCCTCTGGCAATAAAGGTGCCTCAGTGTAAACAGGGATTAATATATTGTCAGCCGTCTTCCAGCCCCATTGAGTTACGATGTTGTCATTACCTATCCATTTTTGTAATTGTAAGTAAACTCGGAAAGCGTGTTGTTGTGCGGCTCCGTCGGTCGGAGGAAGACATTCTAATTTAAATGATGCTCGAGCAGTGGATCGTTTAAAACATACAAAACGGTGTTCGTTCAGAGTACCTTCTGTTTTATTGCAATACAGTAAAGAAATTATTTGGCACATATTTTTAGCAATTTCTTCTCGAGAAGCATCTTTTTGATAAAAAATGTCTATTAAATTGAGGTGCTTTTCATGAGAATTGAATATTTTTATTATTTTATTTTTTCCTTGTTTATAGAAGGAAGATACTGTATCACAACCCGATGCGGCANATATTATTGCCTTTATGATTAATATACAACGTTAATTACTATTTTAAAGTGTTAAATTCTATATCATATAACTTGTTTTTGACCTGCTTATGTATTATGTATCTAATAGACTATGAGAAATTAATTAAGTATATATTTAGGATCGCGGCGTCATAACTTATGTGTATTCTTTGAAAGTAACATAATAATTTTCTTCAAAAATTTTCTAATAAATAAATGTTTATGTTTATTACTGATTTTTTTTAGGTAAAGATGTTCACTTGATAAGGAAACAAGAAGAAGTATTACAAGAATCTCTTATGATGATACCAGATTGTCAAAGACGTTTACTCAAAGCTTTTGAAGATTTGAAAAAAATGATTGATGCTGAAGAAAACTTTGATGACACTGAAGCATTTTTTGAAGCTAAAAATGTTTTAAAGGAAGCAGAAATTCAGATTAATAAAGATGCATGTATTATTTGAAACAGTTTAGCCTTAAAACGTTCTCAAATATAAAAAACTATTATATCATCCTCAACTTTATGGTAAATAATTTAAAATGCTTTCAGACGAGTTTGAAATTAAAAATCAATTGGAGGCATTAAATTCAACATTAGAATTATGTTTTCCAACTATATCAAAAAAAAAAAAAGATGCTCTTACTTTTAGTGAATTATTGTCTAATAATAAAAATTGTTTTCAAACCGAAAAAAAAAAATTTTTTGTTTCAAACAAAAATGACGTAATCTACTTATGTAGTAAAAACCATCAATTGAAAAACATATCTTCCAAGCTAAATAATTTCTCGATGTATCGGGAGTGGAAAAAACAAAAAGTTGTTGTGGAAAATTTGAGACATGACATTAATGTTTTATTCAATATATCAAGACAAAATAAAGTAAAACATCAGATAAATAATTTGAAGTACCAGCGCAACATTATGAAAACGAAGAAAAATAGAAGTTTTCATGCTTGTTTGCTGATGAGAAGTTATAACAATAATAAGAAAGTTAGTTCTACTATCAAAATTGATCATTGGTTAAAGAAAAAAGAAAACGAAATTAATACCGAAAAAGCTGCAGAAGTTATTCGTAAGAACGCTGATATGATTCTTTTTGATGTAAGAACCAAACGCACAGGCACTAAAAAGTTTTTATCCCTTTTACACGAATTAAGAAATTTGAGAAAAATCAAACGTACGCATATGGAATTACAAGAAAATATAACTATCGATAGAGCTGAGAAAGTTTTTAACTCTATAATTGGTAATTGAATGTTTAAAAATGATTAGTAATAAATTGAAAGTGTGCATGCAATCCAAATAATACAAATTTTTACACACATTCTAGATAGTTTGATGATCCAATGGATAACTCTCGATAAAGAGTATTTTATGGAAGAAACAGGCTTAAAGTTAATGATTGAAAGTAACAAAAGAAAGCAGTTACATGAAAATGAAAAAAAAAAATCATGCAAGTGGCTGTCCCTTTTATTTCAGAACTGTTCATTTTGTAAATGTCAAGTGAAAAATTTAAAAATCATTATTTTTTTAAGGTAAGAAATTTTTAGCATAAGTTAAAATTAAAATTGTGTATTTGACAATCTAAACATTTTAAATATAAAATACAACGTTCCGGATGACAAATTTGTTTTACATATATGTAAACTTGTGAATAGTTGTATTTAACTATTTTACCTGCTACCACTGAAAAAAATTAAATTTTTTTATACTATGAGCATACATATAAACTATTTTTTACTTTTGCTAATTTTAGGATTATTTGGGATACCTTCTTCAACTCTGGTCAAGGTCTAAAGATACCCATTGGTTGGATTATTCCCTCTCAACCTTACATTACTGCTTGGACGAAATGTACTGTTAAAAATAAAGTATTTACTTAGATTTTAAAGTCTTACGTAATGTTTAATTTCAACAGTAAAAAAAATTATAAAAATTTGTACACACGCATGAACTTCAGAATTGTTTTGTTGTGATTTTTTTATCATTTTATTTAACATAAGAAAAAACGAAATCTCTTTGAGCCATTGTTGATGGTTTTAGACCACAAGAGTTTTGCAAGGTAAAAAGAGTTGTTTCTGCTGCAGACATAAGTATTTCTAAAGATCCACGTAACTGAATAAGTGATAACATTAATTTTTGTTCTTCTTCTAATTTTTTTTGTAAAACTTTAAAGTTATGTTGAGATTCTGAACATAAGTCTTCTAATTGGTCTTCATAAATATCTATTTAAAATAATCTTTGTTAAAAAAGTAGGTGTTTTATCAGTTACAAATATAATGAAACTTTGATTACCTATCAGAGTGCTTGTAACGTGCAATAGTACTCGTTCGAACCGCGGACATCCGATGTGGCGGATAATAAATCTCAAAACGTTAAAAAGAGATTTACCATTGCGTCCAGCTAGTGCTTGAATAAGACCTTTTCGCCGAATCAATTCTTGGAAAACACTAACTGTTAGATGAGGACTTTTGCTGGTAATATAATTGAGCATAACGCAGTCTACAGCCTTTGAATACTGAAATTTTCTTAAGCAAGTATTGTGTTTTCCTTCCATCTGTCTTTTTATTTCAGGGATACAACTATTAATGTGTAAATAATGTATGGTTTCTCCGGCGTACTTGTAAGACATCTTTTGATTGATGGACGTTTTTTCTTGTGCATTTGGCTCTTTTTGTCGTATAGACATCATTCCATCGGTCATTCCAGCAACAATTGTTTTATCGTCTCTCTGAAATCAATATATTGTATGGATGACGTCATTAAATTTTATGTTATTAATAGCTGATGCTTACAATGATTTATAAAATATACTTGAACAAAAAATGCAAAAAGTGGTACTTGGTTGAATCAAGTTAAAATTTTAATTACTAGAAAAATATTAAAAACAACGTCCCAAAATTTGTACATCTAGCTACAAAAGGTCATCACTTGTTATTGTAAAATAATTTTAGAATCAGCTTCTTTAGGTTTTATTGTACAAATAGAGAACTGTGACTTTAATAGAATACATATATTTTTAGACTGTTTTAGTACATTTATTTACAATTTTTATTTGATTTTTACAAGTTGACGGCTCTAAAAAAAGATCGTAGTTAATTAATGACTGCTTGAAACGTAAATTACCCAGTACGATCTTGTCTTTTTACATTTGATATCAATTAAAAGGTCAATTAATAATCAAGCACCTTCAACGGAATTATCCAATGTGCTCTAGTCTTCTCCATTTTAATTTATTATTGTGTTAGTTAATTAACAAGCGCTTGCAACATAAATGACCGAGCAGATTCCAGTTTTTTTGTTGGTAATAAATTGAATATTAACTAACAATCAAGCCCATTAAAAGAATAATCATGTGCACTTGAGTCTTTCTTTGTTAGTTGTAAATAATGATGCTAATTATCAATCAAGGGTTTTGATTTAATTATGCACACAGTAAAGAGTTTTAGTAATGTTTATTAATAACCGAATGCATTTTTTTAAATAACGCTAAACACAATTATTTTTACTAATAATGATAGCATAGATCAAATTATTATTAAGAAAAATGTGAAATTACAGAATAATGAATTAATAAAACAAAGCTTTTTTGTTTTAATAACTAAATGTGCTAGACTTTTTATTAAAAACAAGTAATAGTACAGATTAATATAAAGGTGCCTTGACTAACTAATAATTTACAACTAATATTTAGTAACAACCAAGCAAAATTCATTGTATAATGCTGTTTCTTTTACTTCATTTATGTTACGAATTTCGAAACTTATTATTATTCATAACTGTAATATTACACAAGTATTTAAAACTGCTTATTAATCTGCCCCTACATTTTTACTGTTTGTTAATTAGAACTGTTCTTTAAAAAGTTATCCGAACAAGTTAAGGCAGTGCACAAAAGTTCTTTAATTATATATTTTTCTGTACTAATTATATATTGCATTTGTTACCAGTAATAATAATTTAATACTCAGCATCCAACGATGAAAAAAAGGAGTTTGGTTATTGATAAATATTACTATTAGTCTTCAAAATATTGAGACGTAAATAAATCACAGTACTTAAGTGACAATATATCCATGCAACATAAAAATATTATATATACACCAAAATACATGATAGTAATGCATTGTTGAATCAAGATCCCTTACTTAATAGTTAGTATTATTAAAAATCAACAAAAAGACTAGAGCGCCTTGAACTATTTCTTTGATAAGCTTGATTGTAATTTATCTTTTAATTTATTAAAGATTGGAGGACTAAAGCGTATTAGATTAAATTTTAGATCATTTGGTTATACGCAGTTCTTTAATTACTAACATCATAATAATTTTGTATGTACAATATTTTAGTGTAATAGATGATTCTGTTTCAGGTAATTCATTATTAATTGACATTTTCATTTATTACAAATATGAAAAGACTAGATCGTACAGGGTTATTTATGTTACAAGCTCTTTTTAATTAACTAACATCACAGTAAATTAAAATGGGAAAGATTTAAGCATACTGGATGATTCTGTTAAAAGTGTTTGTGTATTGACATTTTTATTGATTCGAGATGGAAAGACTAGAATTTACTGGGTCCGTTTTGTTTATCAACATCATGATAAATTAAAACTAACAAGGTGTGTGCGTCCTTAAACATTCCTGAAAAAGTGTTTGATTATTAATTGAATTTAATTAAATTTATTTAAAACGAAAGTACGAGAACTATTTGTTTAATTAACGCTATTGTTTATTGAAAACGGAAAGACTTGAGTATGCTTAGTGTTTGAGTTAAAGATGCTTGCTTATAATTTAATATTATAAATTAGTTATACTCATTACACACGTGCTTTCTTGATAATTTAGTTTAAGGGGTTTGTTTATCAATTGATATCATAACTAAGACAAAAAGGAAGAATTGCATCACTTTTTTTAACTTATCGGAACTTAGTGAGTATTATTGATCTCTATTTAGAGGTGTCACTACTGTTAAT